ACACCAATGATGGGGCGCTATTCTCCGACTGACACCAATGTTGGGACACTATTCCTCCCACTGATACCAATGATGGGGCACTATTCCTCCCACTGACACCAATGTTGGGACACTATTCCTCCCACTGACACCAATAATGAGGCACTATTCCTCCCACTGACACCAATGATGGGGCGCCAATGATTAGGTCCTAAGTAAATGTTGGTGATCGGTTTGAATTCATTATTATTTATTGATTTGATGTATTTTTTCAGTATCATATGGTTTGACATGTCCAATCAAAAAATGTTTATAGTTTAATTAAGGATTTAATTTTTTTTGAATTTCTAATGCACTTTAAATCTTTTCTGCTACAGTTAATAAAGCTATTCTTTGTTGTAAATTGATCCACATTTCTTTCTTTTTTTATTCTCTTATACGTTAATAAGGATACAGTGTTATGCAGAGGTGTACTTATAACAAATTTTATAGACAAATGATACTATTTACAGTCGCGCGGGGGGCGCAAAATGTTTTCTTCTTCCTAGGGGGGGGCTTGACAGAAAATAATTGAGAAGCACTGCCCTAAGTGAACCAGCCGAAAATTGCTCTATGGGTGGCCCCTTTGAAAAATCAAAGGAGCCAGGCAGAAAATTGTTGCCTAGAAAGCACTAGCATCAAATCAGATGCAGCCACTGTTCAGGTAATCTGACAACCGACAAGACTGGCTGTAAAAATACAATAGGCAAGGCAGGAGACTCATCCATCTGTGCTGTATAGCATGAATGAAGGAATCTGTCAGTGCATAGTAAAATTTAGACTGGTGTCAAAGGAATGGGTGACACCACTGGAAGATTTCTTTTCACCTCCTGTTCCATTGAAAACTGTGGAAGTTTGGATTACATGTAATTTTCTGTACTGGTGACAAACAGAGGGCTGAATTTTGGGGACAAGCACCGCAATAAAAAAAAAAAAATAAATAAAAAAAAAATGGTCCAACCTTTCCTATTCTGTCCAAAGAAAAAATATTGTGTTCACATACACTTTAATCCAGTCTTGTCTCATATTGTCTTTTCAATATAAAGACATTTAGGAAATTAAAAAATACATTTTTTTTACCATAAAATTTCATATCCTCCTTTCACAATTTTTGAAGAATGCTTGTGACCAATATCACACAAACAGGCAAGCAGCAATCTCACAATTCATACTAGCCCAGCTTCATCCAGAAATAAAAGACCCGGGTTACAAAAATTGCATTTTTATTCTTGTAGTTTTTAGAAACTATAGTTATTGCTGTAGCATCTCATTGCAAATAATGTGATTTGTTGAGCACTGCAAAGGTTTAAAACCGACAAATTGCAGATGGACTTCTAGGCCAAGTCTACACAAAACAAAGATAGACTTTATTCAGTCATAAACCATTGTGCAAATTTCTGGTAGATCTGAATACATGTCAAGCTTGGCTGCCTGTCATCAACAGACAGACAATGGTTTCCACTTTTAAAAGGACCGTCCAGCATGCCTTCAGCCACGGAGCCTAGAGTAGGTGTGACCGAGCATTCTACAAAATACGAGGACTCCCGGTCAGTCCCATCACACATCAAAGCATTCTTTCACCAATGCTTAGCCCCTTCTGAGTAAATTGAAGGTTCTGGAAAGGAATCAAACAGTCCATTTCTATTGATTGATTAAAGTCTTGTGCGTAATGTTCTCTTTTAATACCAGGACAGTTGACTTTGAATAAAATAGCTGGTAGGAACACATGGGGAACAATCCAAAGAGATCTTTAAACAAGGATCACATTTAAGAGTGGAAAGTGTCGGCAAGAAGGCACAAAGGAATTTAGTATGCGATAAGAGGGAGAGAAAAAGGCATAAAAAGCATTAAATGCAGCGGATTAACTTCACAATGTGATCCTTGCTCAGCTCACAGAGAGGCTGCGTTTCAAATGTCAGAGATTCTTCATACTAGGAGGGTTTAATACCTTGGAGATCATTAGCAGCGTGCAGGCACAAAGCACAGCACAGAACATAAAAGAGAGCAGCTTAGAGCAGAATAATCTGATTCACTCATCTGGAGCTATATGAATATTCTGAATGCCAGAGACACTAAAAAGTTTGATTGCAAAATGTTAGCGAGAGGAGGGATGCAGTCCTACTCCTTTACACGCTTTAACTGAGAACACGACCTAGCTGTATGAAAGGAACTCCAACCAAAGCTAATTTCTGTATTGTAGGTGCAGTGGAAACAACACTGGATTCCCGGATTTGGTTTTTGTTTTTTTTTGGAACCACAAAGGGGATTCTCTACCCCTACCCCTTGCACAGCCATGGCAACCATGCGTGGAATTTTTGAGAAGCTACTGCTGGCACCAATCACTTTGTTGCATATTATTAAAGAAGAATTCCAGGTATGCATATTGTTAGATAGTTACATTGGTCCAACTTGAACCAACTTAACTATACAGATACCAAATCTGTGAGATCACTTTAGGCCAGGGATGTCAAACTCAATTTCATAACGAGCCACATCAGCATTATGGTTTCCCTCAAAGGGCTGATTGTATCTGTAAGACTAGATGTCCAGAGCACCGCACCCCATCAGATGTCAACAGCCCCCCACCCTCCCCTTACCTTGTGCTGCTGCCAGGAAGAAGCTATGCCCCTAGCTTCCCCTCTGCCCCGAGCTCGGAAGCAGAAAGTGCAGGGTCTGGAGGAGGACCAGAGGAGGGCTGAAACCAGGTGCCGGAGTCTGCTGAATGCTGAGACAAGGGAGTACTGCAGCTGCACTGAGAGGCGCAGAATCTGTAGGAGGAGTTTGATCCTCCTCTATGCTGTTGACTTCTGGGATGGGGTTGAGGAGAAACCAGGCTCTCTGCAGCTATACAGAGAAGCACAGGACACTGGTGAAGAGTTTCTGTCCTTTTCTCTGCTACCCAGTGCTGAGATAAGGCCCGGAGGCCTTCTGTTTGACACACATGCCCTAGAAGTAAGAAATCACTGATAGCACTACTCCAGTGGTCTCCACTTGTTTCTGGGCCCCATGCCACTGGGCACAGGTGCCATTCAGAGAAGCGTTATCTGGTTGGATGAGGTGGAGAACACGATGTCACCACCCCGCCTCTCTGTCTCAACCAAGCAGAGAACGCTTCAAGTAAATATGAAGCGATATTTGAATGGCACCTAGCAGTCGACCTCATGTGCTCACAATGCAGCAGGGCAGCTGCTCGGCATGAGACTCCAAAGCTAGTGGAGATCACTGGAGTAGCGGTGCCTACTACAGTGATTTCCAGCTTCTAGAGAGATCCCACAGATATGGCATATACATAGTTACATTGGTTCAACCTGGATCAGTGTAACTCTGTAAAAATATCCATACCTGGAATTCTTCTTTGAAGGGCATCTATGCTGTGTGCTCCCTCATGGATTCTCCATATTCAAGTTATTCACTCATGACAACTGCAGCTTTGGCTACAGATGATCTTGGCTTGCCATTGCCATGCTGGGGTATGGGGGAATCTAGATAACAATTAAAGCAGAAGTGCACTTTCACTAAAAATTGAGTCATTTTTCTCGTCTCACTGTTAGGGTTAATACACACTTTAAGGATCAAACATTTTTACAAATATTTTTTTTTTTTTCAGGTGAAAATGCAGTGTTGCATAGGAGAATTTCATATGTATCAAGTGCAGACAGTAGATGGTGAACACAAAGCAGAACAAAGATGTATTTTTGTTGTGGTAAAACTCCTCAGAGGAGGGACTTTCTCATTCACTACTAGTACAGGTGGAATGTCTTCATTAGTTACACACAGTCTAACAACAAGTTGTCACGGTCGCCCGATTGCCACCCTCAACATGCGACAATCGCACGACCGCGACCAACAATATGTCACGCCCGGCGTCAGACCCCAGACCTTCTCACCAAACTTGTGACCAAAGGACCGGCTGATCTAGAACCGCGGTGTGACGCGCGTAACAATGCAACACTCAGCTGCGCCCTGCACAACGATTGTCCAGCTAATGGAACGCAATCGACGCACCGGCAGCCTGAATGCGCTTGTTACTAGGTCGGGTTAATTATGCAACTAACCCTTCACTGCCACCACCCCTTTTTGTACAGAGAAAGGGGAAACTCTCTTTATCCAATATACACTGTAATGGTTGAAAAGTCGCCTGTCCAATACGGTCACCGCAGGCCGATTGGGCAGAGGATTAAACAAACACAGTAGCGTCTCTTCAAAAGGCAGGAATTCGTAAATTGCAATTAAGCGCTTTAGAAACAGTTTAACACTTTCAGAAAGAAAGATTTATTACTAAAAGAGTCAAACAGGTGCAATAAAATATTTACAAAGAAAATGTAACTAAGATATATATTTTATATATAAAAAGAAAACAGCACAGCAAAGAGATAACAGGAAGAAGTTAAAAGGTTAAGTTACTTGCCATGTTAAGCCTTAAGGTAAGCAAATCCAAGTTGCAGAGCGAAGGGTCTTTGATCTCCTGCTGTTACGATGTTAAAATTGGGAGATGTGTTTAGCTTAACTCAGGCCTACAGCCTGTGTTTTTTAAAGTCCCCCAACAAGGGGGGTGGCTCTGAGTAACTGGCCAATACCCTGTTTTGGGAGGGATCGGTCGGGCGAACTCTGAATTAAAACTAACAGCTTCATAATCCATGATATGAAACATAGGTGACAACTGACTTGAGGAATGCTCATTTAATTCTGTCACCCAGCTAGTAGGGGTTGAGGTTACAATTTCTTTCAAGTCCTGGGAAAAGCTGCCTTATCTTGGTTAGGAGGACAAGCAGGCTTCTGGCTCTTGGGGGCGGCTTTGTAGCTCTGGGCCCCCTGCTGCTCTAGCCTGCCAGCAACTTTTAACACTTACACATCTGTCACTGTGCCTCTCACCAAGGGAGGGGGAAGGAGAATAAAGGATTGAGGGAGAAATGTATGCTCTTATCAAATGGATGTGCCTTGACAAAATGGTGGCACTGCGTCCATCTCTGAGCGCAAGATTGCTACACAAGTAGTCTGGTAGATCTGGGCTTTCCGATGAGAAAGCTCAGCGTCTTTTGCAATCCATAAAAAATTTTCGGTTTGATTTCAGTGTTATCTAACATTTGGGAAAAGGAGAAGGTGTTGCATTTTAAACCAAAATGAGAAAAGAAAATTATGATAAAATATACATACGGAATCCAGAGCTTGGGGTAAGCTTCAACTTCCTCTTGTGTGTACTCATCCAGCCTTCGGGGAATGACTCTGGGTTGCTTAATTTCAGTAACGAGATTCCTCAAGATGTCTTCAGGAATGTCCTACAATAACGACACAAAAACACCAAGATGTGATATGCCTCCTCTATGTGCTGTAAATGGAACTAATTCAACAAAAGAGGAATTTAGGCACTTGTTTCTTAGAGCAAAACTGAATTTGAATTCTGAATTTGATCAGAAAAAAAAAAAAAACTTCCCCTTTATCAGGGCTTCAGTTAAAATAAGAAATCTGAATGTGTGTGAATCTACATAGGAAAGTTGAATCGCTGGATTAGGAGAGTTGCTAATCAGTAGTATCTGTGTCAGCGATCAAGCTCTAATCACAATAGTGGGAGCCACAGAAGCTTATAGATCACAAGGAAACCATTTTGAGCATCTAATGCTCTTTGTCCATATTACAACATACTTCATTCACAAGCTTGGAACTGTTTCCTATTTATTACCTGTAGCCCAGCATATGATGCAGGTTATAGAAGACCGATATTCAGTAACTGAAGCTGAACTTCAGGAATTAATCCAATCTGAAAAATGTGCTGACATACTAGGAGTTAAGTCCAACAAGGCGCATGCCATCTCCTAGACATATCTCTTTAAATTTACATCTGACAGTTTTATGGAGCTCCGGAAGTACAGCTACACTCTCAGGGCTTTGACCCTCTAACAGGAGAGACACGGCCTTTGCATACACATCTCTGCCCCCCATCCCTTCTGCTGTCCATTCATAGAAGCCTTTGTATTTTGTGAATTAGTTTGCATGACACAAAAGCGCTCTGTAATTGGGCAGGAGGAAGGTAGGGGCGAGCACAGTGGCTGCATGCAACTCTGCAGCTGCTGGGGTGGAGACCTGAAGGTCCAGCATCAGTACTGCCTACCCCCACCCCTCCCTACAAAGCTCCTTGCCCCCATGTTGATGAGGACAAGGCCCTCTTCCCCAACCCTTCTTCAACCCTGGCCGGTGGTTCTGGAGGTCTGCAGGCGGAGGGGCTTATTGGAATCTGGAAGCCCCCCTTTAACAAAAGGGCCCCCAAATCCTGCCCCAAAATGTGAATGAATATGTACTCATTCACCAGAAAAGTTTAAAAAGTAAATAAAAACACAAGTTTTACTCGTCCCCGTTCTCCTGACCTGCCAGGCTGCATGCTCGGATAAGGGTCTGGAATGCATTCTGGGGATGAACCCACGCTGTTCTTTTATTTCCCCCAAAGGGCCTGGTATTGATCGAAGGGGGGATTGGTCTACGTCATTTTTTTCACATTGTTTTATTGCCGGCAATGTTTTTTTTTTATTTAGCTGATGGCTCATCAGTTGACACGATGGCCAGTGTACCAGCCCCCTCCTTAACACTGAACGCCACCATAGTAGCATTTTTCGGCCAGCGTTTCTAAAGCAGTTATTAGATTTCCTAGTGTGCATGAAGCATTAACATTGACCTTAAAAAGAAGCCATTCAGTGGTATGCTGTCACCGCTTCCACCTTCACCCAATCTGCCTTTGGGGTTCGCGCTCTCTGGCCATTTGAATGGACGGGCTGCGATGAAGTCACTCCTGTGCATGGGCACGGGAATCACGGTCGCGGCACAGTGCTGTCAATGGACAGCATGCTCCAGTGTGCCATCCAATCAGAGCACAGTGCGCATGTGCTAGGGACATCACTGGCAGCTACAAATGTGAGTATCTCCTAAATGGTGCACGTCTAGGAGATAATCACTGTACCTACCGGTAAGCTTTATTATAGGGTTGCCTGTAGGTATAAATTATAAAGATGAGTTTACTACTCTTTTAACCCCTGCAGTGTGGGAAGGCCCTACTACAAGGGTAATTTTTTTCATGTGCCTGTAAGTTGGGCTTCAATACAAAGGTACAAAACTTTATTTAACACGTGACTGCAATTTTTAAGTCTCATTGGATTGTTAGCTTTGTGAATTGCGCCAACATTCAGTTAATTTATACTGAGTGGAATGTTAACACTTCAAGCTGCTCTAACAGGAAAAGAGCTTTGAACGGCAATTAAGTGCCATCAGGAAAATTAAACACAGACTCAGTTTTTATGATCTGGAAATGGAATAATTTCTGAGCTGCATACAGTCAGCAATAAACAAGGTTTATGGGGGAGTACATTTTACTGTTTCCACAGCCACGTAATTATAGAGTTTCAACCAGTTATTAAAGATGGGAACCTCATCTTAAGCGCTGCGTAAATGGACGGTGCTATATAAGTACCTGAAATAAATAATAAATCTTAGAGTCAGGATGGAACCAGGCATCTATATTTGTAAGAAAGGGGCAGACCATGTAAAAAAGAAGACGAATATTTCTTGCCTGGGATCCTAAAAGCTAAACTCTGGGATAAGCAAATATCTAAATAAAAGAGTCATGTGTGTTCTTCCTTGAATCTTGGTGTGCTTTGTGTATTTCTTCCAGATCTGTGCAGTAATCCAGTGTACAACTTTACCTCTGTGCTGGAACGTCCTGTAATAAAGACCAGTCACTGCTGCGCTCTCTCTCTCTTTGCGCAGGGTGACTGGTCTTGTCGACGCCCCCTCCTGTAGTTTTCTATAGGCAGCCTGTAGTGGGTGGAGCCTGCTGGGTCCCTCCCACAGCTCTCTGCACTAGTTATGTGTAGCACAATGCTGATATCACAACTATTTTTATATGGTAATACCTTTGGTTTGAAAATGTGTTTTATTACATATAGTGGATTTATATATTCTTTGGCTATTGGGGAATATATTTAGGTGAATGTTTTTGTGCCCAAAGTTCAACTATTCTAAAGTAAAGCAAAGCAACAGGTTTACTTTAAGTTTTTGTTTTACTTTATGAAGTTTTTGCATTACATAGCAAGTGGATTTAGGACCTATTAGGTCTGTCACATGGAAGCCTTTAGATGCAATTTACATTAAAAATATATCTGATGCAAGGTCTACTTTACATAGGTACCATGCTGTACACCAATGTAGGTTTTTTTTTTTATTTCATGTTCAGATTTGCACCCTTTGAAAGCCGTTTTGTACAAGCCCTGCTTCTTGTGTCATGTGACTATTTAAAAAAAACAAAAAACAAAGCTACAATGTGCTTTTGGAGGCACTGTTGGTCTTTATATATACACACAGGTCTGATTTTTTAACTGTACAGACCACCAAAGAAGAGAAAGATGCTCTCAACTCTCTCAGAACTATAAAGAGCTTTTGGACTCCTCTCAAGTTCCCATGCAACCATTACAGTTCTCTTGCTCTTACTGAATTTAGCCACGGATGCCAGGAGATAGCCAGAAGAAAGAAACAAAATAAGGAAAAAAAAGGGACTACAATGTAAATGTAAATTTTGGGGCTTGTTGCTGCCCCATCTAATCCTGCTGCCCTAGGCACTGGCTCATGAATGCAATTGTGGTAAATATAGCCTGGCCCTAGAGACACTTAGCAGATATGACTCTCAAATCAAAGGGTCGGTACTCACTCAGTCATTTCACAGATTCGTCCTTGCAGATGTGATCATGACGAAACGCGTAGGGCAGTGCTTTCACAGCGTCATCTTGTTGGTTTGTGTCTGCTGCAAAGTGTGCATGGTTGGAGCTGGCACAATTTAAATAGATACGCGCATATCCTCAGTGTCAGGTATGACACTTAATACATGTGAGTGCGCTACTTTGTTTCATATGTTTTAATAAATAAGCAATTTTATGCTGAGGGTCATTATCTCATTATGACTGATTAAGTGTAATTGGTGGAGGTTTCACTGCTGGAAGTTTCACATTGGAACCAATACACATGGGAATTTTCAGTGATGTAGAAAAATGTGATATTTGAATTTGTGCCTCACGAGACATTTTTTTTGGAATATTGTACATTTACTATTGTATGTTATTGCATTGGACACTTTGGCACACTGGACACTTGTTGAAACAAGAGCTACACAAATCTAACGAATTTACTGCACTTTATTTATTGATTTATATGGTTCAGGTGTTATTGCGTACTTATTATTTATAAGACTGTTTTGTTGTCATGCATGTATGGAATTTATGAATTATTGAACTGAATTATAGTTATTTGGTGAATTTAACAAGGCATTTTTGAGTCACTTTTTTTTTGGCTAGTTATAAATCTCAAGGATATCCTTACTGAGGGACTGCTGAAACATCATGACCTGGATAAGCCATCTAGAGTACTGTGTGTGTTCCCTGAACTGGAAGGAATCAACAGATAGTCAGTGGCACTCCCACAGCTTTCATGTAATCTCTACATGCAGAAGGCTCAGCCAACTTGGCAAGGCATCAGAAGCAGTCAGGTACCTCTGTTGTACAGTGTGGCACAACACGGATACTGACTTGGTAAGTACAGCAATAACGGTTTACATAGAGTGATAAACACAGTACTGATGTTCTGTCTATGTGCGGCACTTACCTCTTCAGGGAATATGTGCAGTCTCAGCATCAAGGTCTTCCTGTAAAGGTTTTTCGGCAACATTCCATAAACTGCCAGTTTCACAATCTGAAAGACAGAAAAATATTACCTCAAGGATAACTATAATGGTTATTGTTAAGTTTTTATTAATTTTCACAATCTATGGTTTGAAACTGCATTACAAACAATCCTTGTTTTAGAAGTAAAAATGTTTTATAAGACAAAGGTTTTCCAGAGCGGTGTGGTTTAGCTAAGAAGAAACCACAGTGGCAATTTTTTCCTTTTATACACAGAAAGCTTGCACCAAAACATTTTTTGGTAGTTCTGCCAATGTACATGTCTTTTTATCAAAAACGGACTCACCATTTGAGGTAAGTATCAAACTTAACGTGAAAGTGCTTGTTCTGTATACTGATGTGACAAAGATATTTTTCCCCTTGAAAAGCAGATGGAACTTTGAAGGCAACTCAACTAATCAAAAACAATACAAAATCATTTTATTACAAATAACCAAAATTTCCATCACAAAAACACATGATCCAAAAATATAAGACAGCTGGGTGTATAATAGGAGTACAAGTTTGATGTGAATATGAGTCCTCCTCCTCCAACTGATGGAAATTAACAAGAAACACTTCAATAGAATACCCGACGCGTTTCAGAACAACATATTTCTTTAATCAGGGGTAGACTGAAGGAAAGGATGGTAAAGTAGGACTTATCCAATATTAGTATTAATATTTACAAGCCTCCAATTGATATTAAAAAACATCTTATTGTCCAATGACACAACCAGCTGGAATGCCATGAAAGGTTCTCCATAAAGGGGGCCGCAGAAATTCCACACTTCGGTAACCCAGCAGCATCTTTGATATTTTCAAGGCTTGTCCTTAGATAAGTCCCTAGTTTATGGATACTGGCCAACTACACATCAAAATCCCCTATTATTCCATATTTCCAAGATTTGTGGGCTGCATCTAGGCAAGTGTATTGATGGTGATTATATTTTGAACTCTAGATCTGCAGATGTTTAGCTGCCAACAGCTGGTTCTGGCACACATCTAGCTGCTGATTTTCTGCAATCTCCCCAGACCTCAAGGAAATCCCCACTGACGTCTAAGGCTTGGCAGCTAAATACAGGGTTGAATACAGCAGTCGAAAGTGTATCAGCAATCTCTTAAAACTTTCTATACTTACTCCACAGAACTATGACCCACCAGGGGGCTTCACAACTGTTTCTTTATTAATAACAGGGACGAGGGAACCCATTCTTGTCTGGGTCATTTTGAAAGACCTCCAGGTATGCCCCTATTTCTAGGTATGGGTAGCCTATTCCAGGTAAGGGAGGCCATACACAGCTATCACCTAAAGATGTACATAGAACATGACATTTCAGCACTCGAAAGTGGTGGAGGACCTTATCTTATGCTGTAGAGTACGGAAGAGTCATGCAACCCGAACTGGACAGGTAGGCGGTGCAGCTCTCCTTAAATCGGGGAAATTAAATGCTAAAAAATACAAGCAGAAAGGGTGCAAATGCCTAGTGCATTATCTCTAGCAGTTTATTAGGTGAAGAAATAAAAAAATATACTCACAAGCCCGATAGGCTCAAAGCAGGTAAAACACACAAGGCACGGTACACAGATGTCCGCTATCCAGCTCCAACTGGTAAATAAGTAACTGTACCCAGCTGACATGTTTCGGGGAAACTTGCCCTCTTCCTCAGAGCAATGGCTACACTAACCTCTACCCTCCTTAATGGTGGTAAATTAGGCCACACCCCTTCATCAGTAATGCTGCACCAGGGGTGAGTGGGGGGAGGGGTAACGTGACATCAGTCATTAAGTAATTAAGTCTTAATGACTGATTTACCATTATTTAGGAGGGTAGAGGTAACTGTCCTACCAGCCATTGCTCTGAAGGAGGGGTCACCCTGAAACGCGTTTGAGCCCTTTCTGTTTTTTATCCTTTTATTTATGTGGCTTTCATGATTGACTACGCAAGATTTCCTTTATACTTGCACATGTATGCAGGCAGTTTGCTTTTATTTAATTATTTTACAACCTTAAAGTGGAATAAAAGCCTAAGGCTCATTCACAGTGCTGTGACCCCAGTTGTGCAACTTGCTTACGACTTTTGTGATGTAACATTGCAGTCTATGGCACTCAAGTCACACCAAAGTCACAGTTCGTTCTGCACCGGCTGGCTGACGTCCCTCAGCTGGTTCAGGCTGGGGAAAAATCCAGACTTTAATGTCAGATCCACCCCAGAGACTGGAGTGGCACCTGGCTCAGCCTGAGAGCCCGATCCAGCCGCTCCCTCCCCTTCCACAGGCCAGCGTTCCACTGACCATATGGGGGAGTTGTGAGAATGACAGTCACCACTCTCTGCTTACAGCGGCGGTGAGAACTCAGGGATCAGCGGTCATATGATCGCTGAGATCTCACACTTGGAGCCGGCAGGGGACAGATGACTCTTCAGTCACATTGATTAAGACTGCACACTTTGAAATTAATGTATTTTGACTTGTCATGTGACTTTAGGTGTCGCAAGTCGCATGATAAGTCACAGCAGTGTGAACTGGGGCTTAGTCTAACTATTCTTTAAAATGTTTCTTCCCCCCTCCTCCTACCCAACCTGTATACAAAATAAATAAATAAAAGGATGATTATATTTATCTACAGTTGCAAGAAAAAGTATGTGAACCCCTTGGGATTACGTGGAGTTTTGCATGAATTGGGCATAAAATGTGCTCTGAACGTCATCTAAGTCACAACAATAGAAGAACACAGTCTGCTGAACATAATACTACACAAACATTAGATGTTGCCATGGTTTAATTGCACGTAACATGTAAACATTCACAGTGCAGGGAGGAAAAAGTATGTGAGGCCCTAGCTTAATGACTTCTCCCAGAGCTAATTGGAGCCAGGAGTGAGCCAACCTTGACTCCAATCAGTGTGATGATATTGGATGTGTTGCTGACAGCTGTCCTGCCCTTAAAAAACACACACCTGTTTTGGGTTTACTGGTTTCAAGAAGCACTGTCTGATGTGAACCATGCCTCGCAGAAAAGAGCTCTCAAAAAAGACTCTCAGAAGAATTGTTGACTTGCATGAAGCTGGAAAGGGTTACAAAAGTATCTTCAAAAGCCTTGATGTTCATGTGTCCACGGTAAGACAGACTGTCTACAAATGGAGAAAGTTTAGCACTGTTGCTACTCTCCCTAGGCGTGGTCGTCCAGTAAAAATGACTGCAAGAGCACAGCGCAGAATGCTGCATGAGGTAAAGAAGAATCCCAGAGTGTCAGCTAAAGACCTACAGAAATCTCTGGCACATGCTAACATTTTTGTTGACACATCTACAATAAGGAAAACATTAAACAAGAATGGAGTACATGGGAGGACACCACAGAGGAAGCCATTGCTGTCCAAAAAGAATATTGCAGCACGTTTGAAGTTTGCAAAAGAGCACCTGGATGTTCCACAGCACTACTGGCAAAATATACTGTGGACAGATGAAACCAAGATTGAGTTGTTTGGGAAGAACACACAACACTATGTGTGGAGAAAAAAAGGCACAGCACACCAACATCAAAACCTCATCCCCACTGTAAAACATGGCGGAGGGAGCATCATGGTTTGGGGCTGCTTTGCTGCCTCAGGGCCTGGACGGATTGTTGTCATTGATGGGAAAATGAATTCCAGAGTTTATCAAGACATTTTGCAGGAAAACGTACGACCATCTGTCCGCCAACTGAAGCTCCGCAGAGGATGGGTGATGCAACAGGACAATGACCCAAAGCATACAAGTAATTCAACAAAACAATGGCTGCAACAGCACAGAATACGCCTTCTGGAGTGGCCCAGTCAGAGTCCTGACCTCAACCCAATTGAAATGCTGTGGCATGACCTTAAGAGAGCGATTCACACCAGACATCCCAAGAATATTGCTACACTGAAACAGTTTTGTGAAGAGGAGTGGTCCAAAAGTACTCCAGATTGTTGTGCAGGTCTGATCTGCAACTACAGGAAACGTTTGGTTGAGGTTATTGCTGCCAAAAGAGGGTCAACCAGCTATTAAGTTCACAGGTTCACATACTTTTTCCTCCCTGCACTGTGAATGTTTACATGTTATGTGCAATTAAACCATGGCAACATCTAATGTTTGTGTAGTATTATGTTCAGCAGACTGTGTTCTTCTATTGTTGTGACTTAGATGATGTTCAGAGCACATTTTATGCCCAATTCATGCAAAACTCCACGTAATCCCAAGGGGTTCACATACTTTTTCTTGCAACTGTATAGGCGTAACTTGGTTTACAAATTTAATGCGTTCTGCGGGACTTTTCGTATTGCGAAAAATTCGTAAACCGAAACGCAGTTTCCCATAGCAATGCACTGAAAACCAGTTAATCCGTTCCAGATGTCAGAAAAAAGTCTATCTGTTCAAAACTGTTTATAAGTGCACTTTAAAAGGCATAAATACCGTACAGAGACTCGATTAAAAAAAAAAAAAAAAAAAAAATTGTAAATGCATTGAAAACCAATTAATCCGTTCGATTTGCGAAACAAATTCGTAAACCGAGCCATTATTTTCAATGGATTTTCATTCGCAGACCATAAATTACGTTAACCGAGGCATTTGTAAACCGAATTTCGCATGTATTTTTAATCCAGTCTAGTCATGTGACGACGACCCTGCAGGGCCATCTAAGGGAGTGATTGACCACAGCACAAAATAATGAGAACTGTGACATCACCCATAGGCTTCCATGGCACAGCTGTTGTTGAAGCTCCCTCCTCTCCCCTGCAGCAGCTGCTCAATGACACAGGGAAGCTGGAGCTGCAGGATCACGTGACGTGACCGGACCACAGTGGAATAAAACAGGTAACTATACAAAAAGTAGGTGGGGGGGTGAATTTATAGGATTAGCTAGAATTTGAGTAGTAATGTGTTGGGAAATGTCTGAATTCTCTGATAGCTTTCATGCAAGTTCGAAAACTATTAACCATTAGAGGAGATTCAGCTTCACTTTCCAGGAACTTGTATGCAGAAGTCAGAGAATATTTTTTTTTTTAATAAGA